TACCCACAGCCAGCAGATGTTGGAAAAGGAAAGGAACTCATTCTTCCCTAGTCACTTGGAGGAAGTATGGCCTGGTGCCACCTTGATTTCGACCCAGCGATACTGATTTTGAATGTCTGGCCTCCGGAACCATGAGAGAGTAAATTTCTGTTGTTTTAAGCCATCCAGGTAGTGACAATTTGTTACAGTGGCCATAGGGACAAGTGCAGTTCCATTGCCTGCTTTCATGGTGAGAGTGCTAATCTTGAGAAACTTTTAGTCAAGGCTTCTTTGACAAGTAAATAAAACAGTTTGGAAGGCAATAGGACTGAGAGGCATTTGATTTATTTATTTGGAAAGATGAATGTAGAAGTGCCATTTGCCTTGATGTTTACTTTGTTAACTGACTTTTTTTCTCGCTTTGTGGCTTCTAGTTCTGATTTTGCATTTTATTAATTAACCAAATGTTAATAAGTGACACATATGTTTGTAAAAAGCATCGTAATAGGAATAATTAGATGGGGATATAGTTTCGTAATGACTTACCTTGATTTCAAGGCACTTTTTGAAATTTTCTGAAATAAAATAAATAAAGGATTTTGAATGTACAATTATGATTGTATAATAAGTTTTAGATCTAGAATAATGAATGTAAGTCATTAATTGAAAGTTAATTGGTAACATTGGCAAAGTTTATCCTGTATTTTGGGGATTGCATGCTTCAGCTGATACCTAGTGTACAGTTGGGATTTATTCGCACCACACCTCTGGGTCTGATAGTGTATTAAGTTATGAAGAATATTAATACTGCTGCAGAACAATTACTTGTTCATTTGCTAGCTGATAAAAATTCATGCATAATTTATTGAAATGAATAGAGATTTTATAAATAAGCCTCCTTGTTCTCAGGGCCTAAAAACAAAATACGTATGCTAATATGAGGCTACTCTTTACTTCCAACATAAAAAATTAATATGTAGTGGCATATTAGTGTCATTAATGCTAGATTTCACTTCTAGTCATGCTGTTAATCAAGGAATATGCTTCTAAGTCTCTCTGAACATTGTCACAGTTCCAAATTTGAGCTACTGCTTTGATGACTGGACTACCCCTTTTGTTTGTTTGACCATAGCAAGTGAGATGTAAAACTGCTCAGGGTGAATTATTACCTTTCTTCAGGCTAAGCATCTGATTATATCAAAGTCATTTCTTCATGTACACAAAACACTAGTGATGAATATTAATTTTTGGTTTTAAAATTTATATGCTCTCTGGGAAAACAAAGCAAAATAACAGCCAATATGGGGCTTGTTGACACATTAGGAACATAAAGTCTTTAACAATTCTTGAAATAATGCCTGGTTCACCAATGAAGAAATTGTAATGTCAAGAAGTTAAATAACACATTCACATTTACCCAGCTCTTCATGTGTGCATTTTGTGAACCTAGAATCTCCTGACTTCAAATTTCATTTTCTTTTACATGTCATTTCCTTAAAGATAGAAATGACAGACGGGATATTATGCTTTACTTTTTCACTTGTTTCTAATAATATGTTTTGTTGTTGCTTTTTTCCCTCTTGTTTCTCTCCCTTCTGCTCTCCTCCTCTGTTTGCTTCTTATTTTCCACAGCAGTGATGTGCACAATTTGGGTGGATGAGATTTATCATTCAATATACAGTTATTAGTTCAGGTTTCAGAATACTCGTAAATTTTTCAATTAACCAAGGTTTGTTATTCATAATTCATTTGACAAATTACTCCAACATGTTAAATATGAGACCCCTTCAGGTTGTTGTTCCGCTGTGATGTATGTGAGACATTGCGGCTTTGGGTTAGAACCCTAGTAAGCTGTGGATTTAGCTTCATTTACTACTTAACTTAAATTAGTCAATATATGAACCATCTGGAATGAAAACAAACATTGCACATATGAGGCAACTCAGTTTATTCGCAAAGTACAGACTGCTTCTTAAAATATGTGCAACATTGAGATAGTCTGGGAAGATATTTGCATTTCTTCTATTATGCTCATTTCTCTATTCAGTTTCATTTTAGTTCAAGGTTTAGAAAATATATCAACTTTCTCTTTCTGTCTACTAAGACTTTTGTAAACTTGAAATATACAAGTCATTAGTTTAGTGGGTAACATGATATGAATTGTCGAGCTTTGTCTTTCACAATTGAAGTCCGTTGTGAAACTTGGAAGAGTTCGCCCTCATGTATACACAATTGTGACTCTATATTGTTGAAACAATTCTTAAATCATAAAGAACAGATACTGTAAGGTTTGTAAGTCAGGTGTTAAGAACTGCTTTTTCCGTAGAGATAGAAAGAATTCCACATGTAAATTTTATATGGTACATACATTATCTTATATAATCTTAGTTTTGTTTTCACTTGAAACATGCGCATCATGAAAGCGCAAGTTCCTATGGTTCTACCAATAAGGAGTTTGAAAGCTGTTGTAATAATAGCCCTGATTACTGATGGGACTAACTTAACATGCCTCAAATATGTTTGGATAGAAAAAAAAGAAAATTGGTGTTACTCAGTAGGCATCTCCACCCATGTTGTGATTTTTTTTCAATTTTTTAATTTTTATTTGAGCATAGTTGGCACACGATGCTACCTTAGTGTCAGGTGTGCAAAGTAGTGATTCCACAAGTCTCTACTACATTTTATGCTCTGCTCACCCCGAGTGTAGCGACCGTCTCTCACAACATGATGCTATTACAATACCATTGTATCTGTTTTCTACATAAGTCTCATTTTAAAATAATGAACTTGTTGATTTATTGTTGCTATATCTCCCTTCCCATATTATATGAATAACCAATGTATAGAACAGACTAACAATTAGTAGTTACTCAGTAAATATGTGTCATGAATTTTGGAGGAACATTATGGAAAGTGACTTTAGTATGGTTAGAGATCTAGGCCAGCTTGTCTTATTCCTTATGTTAGGGATGTTTGTAACTCAGGGGTTCATAAAATGGAGACTATACTTTTTTATACTCTTAGGGTTTAAAAGCAAATCCTGGGCTACAGCTGAAAACCCTTGCTTCATTTAAACCTGTACCAGAAGGTAAAACCTGTCTATGAGGGGTTTTTTGGTTTTGTTTCGTTTTCTGGTTTTTGTTTTTTTTTTTTTTTTTTTTTTGCATTGTATATTATACCAAGCATGTGTTGCCATTAAAATTGGCTGTCTTTTCATAACTTCCTTTTATCTGCATCTTCTCCAGTCCACCCCTGCTGAGAGGAAGGAGGAAGCGATGTGTGGTTGCATTTAATAGCTTTCCTGCGGGGTACCTGGCTGGTTCAGTTGCTGGAGTGTGCGATCTTGATCTTAGGGCTGTGAGTTTGAGCCCCACATTGGGTGTAGAAATTACTTAAAAATAAAATCTTAAAGGGGCACCTGGATGGCTCAGTCGTTAAACGTCTGCGTTTGGCTCAGGTCATGGTCCCAGGGTCCTGGGTTGGAGCCCCACGTTGGGCTCCCTGCTCAGTGGGAAGCCTGCTTCTCCCTCTCCCACTCCCCCTGCTTGTGTTCCCTCTCTCGCTGTGTCTCTCTCTGTCAAATAAATAAATAAAATCTTTAAAAAAACTTAAAAAAATAGTTTTCTTTCATATAATTTGCTTTAACTCTTAAGACACACATTTAAAAATAATCAATTTTATTTCTTAGATTTTAGGTTTATATGAAAATTGAACAGAAAATACAGAAAGTTACTATTTATTTCTTACCTTGCCAACAGTTACTCCTATTTTTTTTTGTTTCAAGTTTTTATTTAAATTCTGGTTAGTTAACATATGGTGTAATATTGGTTTCAGGAGTAGAATTTAGTGGCTCATCACTTACATATAACACCTAGTGCTCATCACAAGTGCCCACCTCCCCTCCAGCCACCCTGTTTGTTCTCTACAGTTAAGAGTCTCCTATGATTTGCCTCCCTCTCTTTTTTCCCCCTTCCCATATGTTCATCTGTTTTGTTTCTTAAATTCCACATATGAGCACATAAGCCTTTAAAACAATATTTGGGCAGTTACCACTTTATGAAGATTAACACTTTATTTTAAAGTCTTTTGGCTTCCCTGAGAAGTGTTGTTCAAGAGATTCAAAGAGGAATCTGATCACAATGTACTAATTAGAGCATCTTCATGACATAGGATTCCCTGTGGACAGACCACATGGACAGAGCTAGAGCGGTGGAGTCCTTCATAAAGTCCAGTATCAAATTCAGCTACATCATTGTTAAATGAAAAATAAATGGGGGGGGGACCCTAATTCATCTTTCATTGTTTCTGTAAGTTCAAACATTACAATAACGTTTGCCAAAGTTTCTTAGTGTACCTTTGATATTTGAATTTAATGTTTGATTCATTGCCTTATCACATGCTACTCCCAAAGGCTAGTGATATGTAATGACTTGTGATTTTACCTCGGTGTGAATTTTAATTTCTTATATTCTGTGGTGGGTGTGTAGAAACAAGTCAGCACTTGGCAGACAGATTTGCTGTTCCTTCCTCTTTCATCTGCAGGAACTCCGCAGAAGTGAAAAACAAAGCAAAATCAAAACCACTGCTTTGCCATATTTCATGAATGAAATAAGGAGTTATAACAGTATTCATTAATTTGGAGATTTGTAGAGGTCTTAGGACCTCGAGAATGTCAAAGATCAACTGTACTCTGTTAGTAGCTAATCAGAGCTATCCATCTTTAAATATTTTTCCTTTATTTCCCTTGGTTACTGTGCCTGTACAAGTTTATCTCCTGGAGAGACGTGTTTTTAATAAAAGAAAACTTGTGGCAAAAAGGGTCATATCCCATCGGTGAAACTATTGCTTTTTAAAAGTACTACTTTGCGGATCACTCATGTTCTCATTTTCCTTATTTATTGTGTACTCCTAAGTAAATTATTCATTAAACCTTTCAGCTTTGAGACACATTAATATATTTTTGTATTTTATTTAGTCTTTTGGGTTTTTAACTAATTAGGTTGCACCTTCATCTCTCCTAGAACCACCAAGACCCATTGCTCCTCCCCAGCTGCTCGGTGTTGGGCCTACATATTTGCTGATTCAGCTAAATGCCAACTCCATCATTGGTGATGGTCCCATTATTCTGAAAGAAGTGGAGTACCGAATGACATCAGGATCCTGGACAGAAACGCATGCAGTCAACGCTCCAACTTATAAATTATGGCATTTGGACCCAGATACCGAATACGAGATCCGTGTTCTACTTACAAGACCTGGTGAAGGTGGAACGGGGCTCCCAGGACCTCCACTAATTACCAGAACCAAATGTGCAGGTAAGACTGAATAGCAGGCCACTCTGCCTTGTGAAGGGATCGAGCATTGGACATATAGTATACATGCGCTATTCGATGTTCTAATTATTTTGCACATGATGTAGTCACACTAAGAGTTCCATTGAATTCGGTAAATTGTAGCGTTATGTCATAATTGGACTGATTTAAGAGCAGTGTGTTTCTCTGTTATTATTCAGTATTAGGATGAATCCATATTTTCTTGTGTGGCAATTTTGCTCAGCTTGCTTGTATTCAGTCCAAAGTCTCTGACAGATGCCAGTGAAGGTACTATTACCATTGAGAGAGAAAACTTTGGCAATTCCAGCAAATGCTGAATATCTTTCGGCTATGCGGAGATTGTCTCCCTTGGTAATATTGTTATGGGCAGAGCAGAGGCCATATCTGATAATACAGATTAAAAAGTTACTCTGAACCAGGCCTTGGTGAGATAACTCTTCTACTCAGGAAACCTGTTGTTGAGGATTAACTCAACAGCTTGACACCCAGCTGTCATACAGAGGCTTGTTAATTGCCCTCCCCGTGCCTGAAACAAAGTGAGGAAAATAATAGCATATGGACGAAACACAAAGAAAGGATGAAAAGTAAAATAAAAAGTAATATATAAATATATATCCCAGTTCCTAATTATAGTATGTTGTTATAATGGGAGAAGTTATTAGCTATTTATTAAAAGCCACTGAAAAGTTTAATTGTCTCAGTTATTAGAGTGCATTTTTAAGTGTATTGTTTAATTTATTATTGAAAGTAGTTTAATTTTTAGTTGAGTTGGAAGAGCCATTTTTTAACCATCAAGCATTATGTTGAAACACCTGCAGAGTTAGTGCATGGATCTATGCGTCCTGAACATCTAATGATTTAGGTTCTGAAAATTGAAAACTAAGACTGTAGGGATCTATGAAAATGTAAATGCCTATAAAATGTCTTTTGTTTCTTGAACACGTGTTTGGCGTTTATAGTATTTTTGTTTTTACAGTATTCCGGGACTACTCACCAAGAGAACTGATCTGAAATCAAAGCAAAACCTGTGAAATTACCTGATAATACTGTCATCTTTAAATATTTTAAATTCCAACTCAATTTTAATATATTAATGTTTACATATATTTTTTTTATATATTTATATTGAAAGATGCCCACTAACAGGGAGTTTAACTGCTCAATTGATTTAGACAACAGAGAGTTTACTAATTTGCTGTTTGGTCTTGTACATTGATTCTGTGGTTGATAGGCAGCTTGACCTAGAAGATATTGGTTAAGTCTCCATCGCTCAGCCTAAATCACACAATTTGCTTTTTAAATTTTCTGTGCAGCTCACTCTTCATTCTAGGTATGTGGCAAATTATTCTGATTACAATAGGTGACTTTTCTGAGGGAGAAGTAAGTGGACTGCACAACCTCAGCTAGTCAGAGAAATAATTTGAAGAGGAGACATTGTAGAAATTAAGGAAAAGCTCACTCTGTCTTCCAAAATTAAATACCCCATGTTAACATAAAAAGATGAACAATGGAGTTCATTTTACTGAGGATATTGTCTACACATGTTTTCTAATAAAACTACCTTTCCTTCTACATTTAATCTATATGGCATATACAAATTAAAATAATGAACAGTAATTTACTATTTCAGTGGTCTTCTTTTTGACTTCTTCCCCCTCCCCAGTAAGTCACTTTTTCTTCTAATTCCAGCAAGTTAACATACAGTGCAGTATTAGTTTCAGGTGTAGAATTTAGTGATTCATCACTTACATACAACACCCAGTGCTCATCACAAGTGCCCTCCTTCATCCCCATCACCTATTGACACCCATCCCCCCCCACCTCCCCTCTGCTAACCCTCATTTTGTCTTCTATAGTTAAGAGTCTGTCTCTTGGTTTGCCTCTTTTTTTTCTCCCCCCCATGTTCATTGGTTTTGTTTCTTAAATTCCACATATGAGTGAAATCATATGGTATTTGTCTTTCTCCAACTGACTTATTTTGCTTAGCAAAATACTCCTAACTCCATCCACGTCACTGCAAATAGCAAGATTTCATTCTTTTTTTTTTTTTTTTTTTTTTTTTTACAGCTGAGTAATATTCCATTGCATATATACCACATCTTCTTTATCTATTCATCAGTCAATAGACATTTGGGCTCTTTCTGTAATTTGGCTCTTGCTGATAACTTCTTTTTGACTTCTGTGTCCAGACTTCTTTCTCTTAAATATCTCATCTGTTTTCTTATTTTTTAAAGGGTTTCATCAAAGTAGACATTAAAATTTAGCAGTACCACCCAATATATTTGTTAATGTGATTTTTGTTTAACCAGGAATTACTTGAAATCGGCCATTGTTGTGTGAACCAATGGAGACTGCAAATATTTGAGATTGTGTTTTAAAGCTAGTTAGGGCTGTATTAAGTGGATGAAAACAGCTTGTTAATGAGCATTGATTTATCCCTATTGAATGCTTATGTTGAGAATGCATATTGACTACAATAAGTAAAAATATGGCTATAAAGTGCTTTGAGATATTTAATTTTGAGAATAACCTTATCTGTGTGGGAGTGGATAGAGTAAAAATAACTTACACTCATAGTTGCTTTCAAGTTTATAAATGTCTTAACGTTTTAGAATTATAGTGCTCTTTTTTTTTTTTCTAATTCTTTATTTGAGAAACATAATTTGTGGGCTCTGGCATAAAATGGTGTCAGGGCTCACTGACACTTAGAGTTTTACTTCCAACTGTAGAAAGTTTATTTGTTTTTAAAACTATCTTTCACATGTGTTGAGTCTTTGTCACATATGTTTATTCATTTATAAATGTCCTTAGAATATGTATTTCGTGCATATTTTCGTGGCTAAGGAAAGTGCTTAGATTTTCAAATACACTGTGGATTTGAGAGAAACTAGTTACTGTTTTATTAGGAATTTCTACTAATCTTCCTCTATTATTAGAAAAGGGGGGAAAGCTTATGGAAATATATATTGTGTTAATTTTTAAATAATCTCTGAAAAGCAGAAGTTGGAGATAATTGATAAATATTGTATATCTAAATGCAGGGCAGTATTGATGGTGAAAGTATGATGTCCATCTACTTTCCTTCTTCAAAGTGCATACTCCTTTCTCCAAATTTAAGATCCCTCAGCCTTAACCAGCACCTCCACTGGCCTCAGCCTGGTATCCTCTAACACAAAATAGAACACAACTTATGCTAACTGTGATAGTAGTTGATTTCAGAAGCCTAAAATTTATTCACAAGCTAGGGAAATGATTCCTTTGAAATCCTAAAAGTAACCTTTGAAAAAGTTCCCATTTCATTCTATTATTTTGTGCAAGCTCTGAATACTCACTGGTTCTACATTCCATTTTAATCCAGGCTAGGAGAGTGCCACACTGTAGTTGTAGTATTAATATCATATGGTTGAATAAATGCTGATTATTATGACATAGCAATATTAATACACCCTGTATGTTGACTATCAGGAAGCCTTAAAAATAAGTATAAGGACTTCTCAGCTATGTCTTTGTGTCTGATATAAATTTCACATGAATTTCTTGTAAAATAACAAAGGAATGAGGATTATTTTCTGCTCTTAGAAATTCTTCTTTTCTTTTGGTGCATCACAGAGGGACATTCTCTGACTACTGAGTACCAAAGAGTGAATTTGTTACTATTTACTATGTTAAATATCCCATTTTAATGTATTTAAGCCATTTAAATTTTATTTCTGGCAGTAGCGAATTTTATTTTCTTGGCAGAAATCTGTCAATAAATAATTTTACAGTAAGTTAGTCAAAAATGGTTTTATTTGTGTGGGTTAATGAGTAAATTTTGTATTTTAAAATAGAAATGTAGATTTTCATGGTGAAGTATTGGTTATTTTTGCTTTATAATCAGCATATGAAGTGACTCTATCATGATACTTTATTTTCACACCTGTGAGGCAGATAAATTATTTTCCCAATTCTGTAGCTGGTGAATCTGAGACTCAGTCAAAACAGAATGAAACAATGACTTATCTAGTGTCAGATGGCTGGGCAGCTAGGACTCAAAACATTATTTTCCTAGTACTTGAAAAGCTTGAATTCTTTTCCCTCTTTCTCCTAGTATGGGTGATCCCTCCCTCCCTTCAGAAGAATATGGCATGCCTAAATGAAAGTATAAGAGGTAAAATCTGGGAGGAATGTATATTTTTACAAAATAGTATCTGCATGGCTAACTTATTCCCTGAGAAACATAGTTTAATGCTTGCCACTTCACTTTTATTGAAAGCACAACTGATTACTGTGCTTAACACTCAAATATATGCTGTGTTTTAAATGTCTTAAACAGTTAAAGAGGTGTAAAACATTGTTTTATTTTATGCTTTTCTGAAAATGTCCTGCCTAGTTGCCAAAGCTATTTTTTTGTTTTGTTTTGTTTTCTTTCTAAAGTACATTTAAATCATTTGGTAAGTGCAATTACCTGCTTCGGGGTCTCTCAAGTTAGGAGAGGTGGTAATTACAGCCTCTGGTGGCCGTGGCCTCCTACACTTGCATCACGCTTCTCTGTGCACCTGAGGGGTATGATTATTGCACTGTTAACTTACAGCCTGACCCATGTTATTGTTCATAAAATGCCTCTTCAGGCATTTTATGAATTTTAAAAAAAAGGTATAAATGGGAAGTTGTTTTAAATGGGAAGTAATTCAAAAACTCCATTGAACAATCAAAGAAAGTATGCTTGTTTTTTCTCTGTGTCAATTTCCTCTGGGTATACCATCTGGTATAGAAGCTAAGAAAATACAGTTTCTTTTTCTCTTATTAAATGGAAATAAAATATACCATCATCAGAAATTGTCTTCATTGCATGCTTTGGCAATTGCATGTTAAAATTGCTCTTTTAAATTTTCTACTGCTTCTGGGTAACCCATTGTGGCACTGTTTTATAATTAACTGACATTTTAGCAACATCGCCCTCATAGGGAAGGTCAAGAGTTCAGGGTGTCCAGAGCGTAATA